TGCTACTGTGCAAAGGCTGTTACTATGTCTCATTGTCAGTTAAGGGTCAAATGCACCGCACTGTTTGATTTGAAAAACACACTAAATTAACATTAAAACGTATTAAATCTGTTTTGTTTTTACTACCTTTTTTGATTGTACAGCAAAGTTTGTTTTTGTTACTGTGCTGCCATTTCAACTCTTCAACACTGTTACTACGTAGCGTCAATCCAATGAATTGCCAACATAGAAACTGTCAAAGAAATCCTTGTAGGTATAGTATGCGGAGGAAAACCATGTTCAACTCATTATACTGGAAAAGCACTACTCGAATGGGATACCAAGTATTGGCCAACGGTTAAAGTTAGTGCAACAGGCCAGAGACTGCAACTAAACCGGACTGAAAACTCTGACCATTGTCCACAAGTCGCCATCTAGTGGCTAATGTGACAAATACATAACGCAGTTGTGATAATAACGGTCTAATACATGTATTGAAAATGTTTCACATTGAATCATTAGGTGTTCCAAATAAAAAGCAGCCCTGTGTTGTGAAACTGACTTCAAGTCTGGATTCTCTGACTTCTCAGTCAAATATTTTATATAAAAAGTACATGTGCCATTTCTTTAACAGCATTATCAAAACATGGGAGGGAAAAGAAAACCTGAAACATGTTAAGTAAAAAAATTCCAAAGTTACATCCAAAACATAACTCGGCATCATCCATGCCACCCAGGTAGCCGTCACTCACAGGCCGACATGTGTCACTCCGAGACTCACATGCTACGCCCTGTAAATGTACGTTAATTGTGTTCACAATCAACAAGCCTTTGCCGTTTTCTGACCAACTGCTGCCTTGGTGACGCACAGTAGATATCTTATGACAGACCACAAGGACATTGTGTTGATCCTTTTTTCGATGACAACGAGTAACAAATTAAAAAAGGAGCTTGAGAATGAACGACTCCATCTCAGCCAGGTCACAGTCCATGATGTATCTGCTGGGAACTTCAACAGACCCGTTAGATGAGTAGTGAAGGGGTGGGTTTTTTCCCCGGCCAAGCTTCTTTGGCATACTTCTTTTTGCGTGGCTCGTTGTGGGTCTCTGGAAGGTAGGGGGCTATGACGGGGGTGGGGTTGAGTGTGATAGGAGGCCGGTGGGCTTCAGGGTCCAGGTCCACCTCTGGTGCTGGGTTAGGGAAGGGCAGAGGAAGCCCTCCCTGCATAGAAGCCCCTCCTGGAGCTCCTGTCGGCTGGTTCTCATGACTGGTGGGCGGCAAGTCCCCGTAGAGACCACTGCCCAAGTTGTAGCTGTGGATGCGCTTTGAAGTCATGTCATCGAGACCCAGCGTGTTGTGGCCCTCTGATCTGCGTTTCTGCAGCAGGGAGGACAGAGTCAAGTCATTAAGGATGGACCAAATACGTTTCCGGGGTTCAAATGCAGCAAACACTGTCATGTGGTGGCTATTACAACGTATACCTTTATTACTGTAGCACTATGACAGATTTACACTCATCAGACTCGGAGAAGGAAGCTCAGGGGTTGGACTGAGAACAGCACAGGCTGATGTTAGTCACAGGAAAATAAGACTCAGGCTAACCCAGTAGCGGGAGATGGGCCCACATTTTTTTTAAGAGACCTGGCTCCATGGTGGCATCTCGGGTCAAGCTTTTGGCTGGCGAACCACAAAGCCAAAAAGCAGGAATTTGGAGGAAGACTGAGTTTCTATTTGCTGCTCATATGTCAGATTTGTCCTGGATGTTGATTTTTTTTATGTTAAGATGCCTGCCAGATTCTCTGCAAGGAGAATTGACCATTTTTCACCAATCATCCAATCCTGATGCTAATTTAATGCACTACAGGAATGCACTTCTCATTTTGTTTTACCGTTTTTTTCCCTGCAAATCAACTACAACTGCATTTCGTTTTGCAACCCTGTTTGGTACAATAACAATATTCTTGAAAGCCTGAAGCAGCTCTTATATATGGGTCAAATAACTTGCCCCACTTTGTAAAATAGTTTGTAAGGAAATGGTATTGTGTTACAGTAAAACGGTTATTAATGCAACATTGGACTCTAATTAGTCAACTCTGCGCTCTTGTGTTGTAACACCACGGCGGATAATTATATGTAATCAAGTTTATTTCATTAGCTTATTAGATTGTAAAACTTTAAAACTGGATGAAGCCCCGTGTTAAGAGCCATGTGACTTTGAAGCTTTGGGCGTCATCAGTCACATGGCGTTAGAAATTAAACACAAGCTCCTAATATATCTAAATAGTGTGTTTGGCAGCAGTAAAACAAGCTTGGTTAGTATTCACAAAGCTCTACAGGTCACACATTTAGCCCATTCCAAATGATCAAATTGTTATACAAAATGAGTAAAGTTCATATTTTTGATTGAAATGGATCAGTTACACCAGCTGCACCTGGGACAAAACTGAAGCTTACCTTGATCGGGATGACAGCAGTCTGCACCATGTTTCTAAACCGTCCCACCGAGGGGTCTATGTCCTCTGCAAGAATTTAAAAGAAAGTGTTACAATGTATTTGACAGTGCATTTGTTCTCTTACAAAGTAGAACTGTACGGGGAATAGCTTGGTTATATTTACAGTATGCAAGTTAGATCTAAAACACATTATTAGTATGTTACCTGTTTGTAAAAGCCTTACAAATGTAATCCTCTTTAATCATTTCTTTCTCAGTTAAATGAAACGTCAAGATTCTTACAAATCATTTACCAAGGGAGGACTTCAAAGGGAGAGCAATCAACTACAAAAATCCGTAACAGTTAGAAGGACAGATGTTTTGTTTTTACAGTTATACCGCCTGTCACTTTGAGTCGTACCTGGGTTGATGATGGAGTCGTCCTCGTTGAAGGTGACCCTGGAGTTTCTCCGTTTCCTCTTAGGTCTCTGGATTTCCAGATTGCCCTCCTCGATGGTCAGTAGGGAGATGCGCTTGTTGTGTGCCGTGTTGAACTCCGTCAGGTTCTGAAAGGAGGCAGACAGAAAATATATTAATTTCAAGATGTAACTACTTTACAACAGGACAAAACACCAGAATGAGCCAGCTAATAAACAGGAAAAAGACAAGACGTGTTAATAAGAGGATATAAACAGGAATTGTAATCATCTTAGGCTCTAGTGCGTTGGTGTGGCGCAGTGGAATTGAGCGTTGGTGTTGGGATCAGGGGAGCACAGGTTCAAACCCCACTGCAGTCAGCATGTCGTTGTGTCCCTGAGACACTTCACCCCAAATGGCTCCTGTGGGGATTGTCCACAGTACTGAGTATGTAAGTCGCTTTGGATAAAAGCGTCTAACATGTAACATGTAATGTAATCTTATGTTAATACGATGTTCCTCAAATGGTGGCAAACGGATTTGTGCTTTTCTACCACTCATACAAGCTTTGAAAAGATGACACTGATATCTGAGTAATCTAAGCTGCTCGCAGTCACACATTTGACTATGAGTTTGAGGCTATCTTTGGAAATGACATTTTGGAACTATGCTAATCATAAGGATATTTTTTGCGCATCAAATTCTAAATGCTGTGAACATGATATCTAGGGAAGAGGAACAGATTTGACTGAATAATCGTATCTTTATTTATTTGAGTGAAAAAGGACTGAAACACATAAACAGTGTGGTGCATCTATTACACCGTTCTCATCAGCAAAAACACGTGGGTTTGCTGTCCTGGCTCCAAGATGGTGGAATGAGCTCCCCATTGACATCAGGACGGCAGATAGCTTGCACATCTTCCGGCGCAAACTGAAAACTCATCTCTTTCGACTCCACTTCGAGCGTCAGAACGATTAACAAAGCACTTATATACTAATAAAGGACTGGCTTACCTAAAGCCAGTTGAGTAGCACTTGAAATGTTTGGCTCTATGAAACCTGATGTACTTATATGATTCTGTTTTCTTCAAGTTTGTATTTTGTTGGTCGAACGCACTTATTGTAAGTCGCTTTGGATAAAAGCGTCAGCTAAATGCAATGTAATGTTAGCAGTCTACCTAAAACAGCAATTTGCAGGCAACAAATGTTATGATTAAAACACAAGATGCATCCATTTTATTTCTCCTTTATACAGTTCATGTTTTAGAGCACGATAATATTGTTATTATTGAGAAACTAGACGTACCTCCAGCTCTGTCTCTTCCTCAGGAAGCCCTAGCAGTCCTTTCAGCTCCTCATCCTCTCCGGTCTTACTGTCTCCTGTGCCGGCGGTGCCCTGGGTTTGGGGTTTCTCTCTGATGGTGTAGGTTCTTGTTGACGCCCCAAAAGATATCGTCGAGTCTATGGGAACTTGCTGAGGCTTTTGTCCCTCCAGACGGATGTGTCCAAGGTAGGTACCGTGTGCTAAAATAAAAACAATTCAATAAAGAGGTTTGCATATGTAAGGACAGATTACTTTACAGATGTGTTACATTATAGTGGAAATTAATAGAATGTGATTCATAATTATTACTTTTTCTATAAACACAGAAACGAGATGGTTAAAAAAAGTCAATTACAATGTTTTCAAATCCAAAAGTAAAATGTTCCAAATGCTTTTTCATTTCAAAATTAAATGAACACTTAAAGATGTTTGAGACAGAAGAGGTGGAACACTTGAGGAGCAAAGTGATGTTAACTGAATTACATAAAATATGACTAGAATAGTTGCAAATACATGTTTTGTCAATCGAGTCTCAAGCAAATAACCTCTGAGAGTTGTATTAGTTTTTCCACCATTTGAACATACATGTATATCAAACATTTAAAGTGGAACTGAGAATGATGACTTACTGCTGTTGAGGTCAATGAGAAAGACCCTTTTCAGGTGTTTGTGGTAGATCAGGGCAGCGTGGACACGCGAGCACGACTGATGGTCGATGGTGAAGTCGCACCAATCGGGGTTTCTCCCAAACAAGTAATACTTCTTTTCGTCTATGATCAGTTTCTACAGGGAGAGACAGTTTCTGTGAGTCAGTCATTTTCAAACAGAATATTTCTGTAAACAATCTGTCTGTGCCTCTGAGCCATAACTCACACAGTGTTGCTTTCCACTGAAAAGCTTAAATGTCAGGGCTGATGATGTTCTCGCACCATTTGAAGCCATGCAGCCATAGAAAGTCCCAGAAGTGTTCAACACCTCTGGGACCAAGTGGACTGTCAGGCGTGTATCTGGTGCATTCAACTGTCGTTGAATAGTAGTATTGTACATGCAGCGGTCCAATGTAGTGAAGTACATTTACCCATGTATTGTACTTAAATGTTGGGGTACTTGTACTTTACTTGAGTATTTGTATTGTATGCTTCTTATACCCCGACTCCTCTTGGAAGCTAATACTGTACTTTTTACTCCACTACATGTATTTGACCAAATGAGTTACTAAACTAACCTTACAGATGTATGGCAAGGTCACTGATACATGAAGTAAAAAAGAAAACCTTAAAAGTTACCTCCATTAATTTGTCTCCCTTCATCACGTCTAGATGGAGTCCTTGTGGTGGCTTTCCTGCCCTGAAAGGAAAAAGATTATGAACTTTCTGAACATTTAAAGAGTCTACCTTTGGTGCATTTGTGCAAAGGTGGTATTTAAAGGTTTGTTGCTGTAAATCATCTCATGAAAACGTTAACATTGAAGCGGTCGTCAGCTATGCAATGCTATAACAGACCAATACAATGTTAAAATGCCCTATCGTTATAACTGGACGGCTTCTGCTCATAAACGACACTTATAAAACCATGCATATGCAGCAACTTGTTTAGAAAAGGACGAAGAAGAAAAAGGACACCAGCGTTCATTGGTTAGCATGCTAGCTAGCTTGGTTGCTAATGATAGCTACAGTAACTACAAGCTTTTCTCTAGGTTAAAGGTAAGTTATATAAATGAGGGTACGCGGCTCTGCTCATGTGCCTTTGGTATGGCATTACAAACAAACAGGTACAACTTTAGCATGTGCATTTTGCTCACCATGATGGACAATCAAAGGGAGGAGCACTCTCTTTGATTATTTTAGTCGCCATCTTGCCTCATCTTCTCACAGCCGAGATGCATGCTGGGAAAACATCACTTTGGTTAACTGGCCTGGGAGTTGTAGTCTTAAAACTCTAACACGTTACATCCGCTGGTTACATCTAAATAAAACCATCAAATATTTTAAATGAAACTTGTATGTCCACGATTTAAACTGAAATTTAGCAAAGTTATCAAATCAAATCAAGTTTTATTTATATAGCACATTTTTAAACAATTTTTGGTCAAGTGCTGTAATAAAAATACTCTACAGTTAGACACTTTACAGCAAATACAAACAGCACAGTTTGTGCAGAATATCAGTATGATAGACCATCACATCGTTCAAGGAAAAACTTCCAGAGAAAAACCCACAGTAAAGAAAAATGGGAGAAAGCTCAGGGAGAGCAACAGAGGAGGGATCCCTCTCCCAGGACGGACATACGTGCAATTGATGCCGTGTGTAAATTGAAGAGATAATACATTTTACAGCGTAGGTAGACTACGCTAGAATGTTTGGAAATGCATGTGTGTATAATAAGAAGATGAATCCACGAAGATGTCAAAAACAATCCTGTGGGAGGCTGGGAGCCATCAGGGAAGTAGTATGATGAGACCCAGGACCGCAGAGAAAGGTTATCATGATACTCGCCCTGTGTTAATATCAAATGAGGGACAATACAGTAAACAAGACTTTACTTGTAATAAAACTAACTAGGCCTATGTAAACTGGAGGAGGTTCTCATTGTAGACTTCTGACCCAAAATAGGCAGAGGTGGAATAAGTACTCTAATGGTATACTTAATTAAAAATACCAAAGAGCAGGAATACTCAAGTAAAAGTACTGCAATCAATATCTTACTGAAGTAAAAGTATACAATTATTGGCATCAAAATATACATATAAGTACCAAAAGTTCTGCTCATTGAGCAGATTGGTCCATTTCAAAATATGCTATATGTTTTGATTATAATTATTGATGCAATAATGTGTTATCACGGTGCAGCTAATTTAAATTCCTCTGTGCAGTGCAAGGTAACAGGTGAATGTGTCTCCAGGTGTAACTAAAGTCTTATTTAAGTGTTGATTTAATTTCATAATATTCATTCAAATCTGGAAAGTAACTAAAGGTATAAAAGAAATGTAGTGGAATAAAAGTACATGATTTACCTCTGAATTGTAGTGAGGTAGAATACAAAGTCCCTCAAATCACTGAAAATAGGTATGTTGCAGAAAGAAAACAAAATGTAAACTGATTTGAGTTGTTATGGAGAGCTGGTGGTTTGATAAACCTGAAAAACACAAGTTTGTCTGATGTCATATTTTGTTGCAGGGGGCTTGCATCTTAATTCTCGACTGTGCTTGCTGAAAAACACATACATCCATTTCAGTACACGCGTGGTTTTGAAAAGATAGCGTTTGGGGCAGGGGTTGCTGAAGAGATTCAACAAGGGTTTCATTCGGAAAGTGTTGTGGGTTTTGTCCGATACTGCGGGGTTATTTTGTCGTGTCATAGAGGTGGGAGGAGATCAGCACAAGGAAGTGAGGGGGCTGTCTATTTCTCAAGTGAACAGAGGGTACGTTCCTTGCATGGAGGCTGTGTCATAGGGTACTTTGTAGGACTAAAAGTAGCTCCTTAACAGCTCAAGGAAACCCTCTTCTGGTTGTCTGGGTTAAACATGTAGCCTCTGTCCTTTCTGTCAAGTATAAACTATTATTTGTGTGGTTTTGTGTCAGTGTTTTGCAATAGATTGGGGAACAAATTATATTCGGCCCTGTGAAATCCTTCCACAGTCTTTACAAGATACAACACGTTGTGGTTTCAACAAGACAACGTTTGCACCTGCTCGACATGCAACAGCATGATGATGTGTCTTGGAATTTTTAGTCCTTGAAACTAAATTGATTATACTTGTCATATATGTACATTTTATTGTACCAGGAATTGTAGCCTACGTATGTATTGTATGAATCAACACACAAACACGTGTGTAAAGTTTGACCCATTTCCTTTAAATAGTCTGGATTAGAATATCAGCTTCTATGTTCTTTATGTGAAAACAAATGAATTTATAATTTAGAAATATTAATTACACATCAACAGTACTACAAAGCATTACTCATAGAATCGGTCCTCCGCCTGTACATGCACCGTGCAAAGATATCCTGTTACTTCCTCATTCAATTTTGTGGTTTTGACTGAGAGGCAACAACCTTTTATGCTTGGGTTGTCACTCTGTCAGCCTTCACTTCTGATCGCAGCTCACTGAAGCAGCAGTGATGGCAGGCACGACTGCGCTGTCACTTCAACAGTTCATTGCCTCATTGGACAAATCTTGTCTACCAACAATTTTACAAGTTTGCTCTGGAGTGTATTTCCAAGGTAGGCATTTGATTGTTTTATTCATTGTGAACTGATAATGTGAGAGTAGATGAGGTGAGGACACAGCTGAGTGGGTTAGAGATTATTTGAAGAGATAAAATGGCTACATGGTAAACTGTCTGGATTGTTGTATTATCTGTTTATATCTATACTTTTAAATCTATATTGTATTTACGTTTCCTTCTTTGCCAAACCCCAGGTCAGACCTTGTTGTGGAAAGACACAGAGCATTATCTTTTTGTTGGTTATTCGTGCTTAAAATATCTGCTCACTGTTAAATGATGATCTTGGTATTTAGCTTTGCTCTATTTCCCGTTCTCCGTTTCAGGGTCTATATATGAACTTTCTGGGAGTGAAGTCTGCTTTTCTACTGGGGATCTAATAAAGGTCATTGACATTGAGCTCCTATCGGTTTCCTGCGAAGACATCAGCAACGATGAGAAGTTTGAGCTTCCTATCAACCACACAGGTCGGTCTGAGCTACAGATAAGATTCTGGTGAGAACACCTCATTTTGTGTCTCAGCTGAACACCGACACTTGTTTCTCTTTCTCAGGTTTGTTCAAGGTTGTTCCAGAGGAGATGCCGTACACTTCAGTGGAGGAGATGGTGAGCCTGAGGCCCCTGGACCTGGAGTCCTGTCTTCCCTTCACTTTCACCAACCGCTCAAAGATAACTGTTGGAAACTTCACACTGGGGGCAGGCCGAGCTTTGACAGTGCTCTCCATCGAGCGGCGTGAGGGTGAGGTGGATCATGTGCGCTGCCATGTTAAAGGACAACAGGAAACCTCTGCAGAAGTGTGTATCCCACTTTCTGCCCAAGGGGAGTTCAAAGTGTGTGAAAGTGAGGAGCGCTTCACTCTGAGAGAAATCATGTCCTCGCCCTGCCTGTGCAGTCGAAAGTTTCGCTTCATCAACACAACCAAGTGTGATCGGCCCCTGGTCCTCTGTCCAATATACACGGTCCACGCCATCATGAGCAGTAAGAATACCCTAATACTTTCTTTAAAAAGTGATCTGCATCTGGGCTATATCATGGTTATTATTTTCACTTTGTTTATCTGTTGATTGAAATTGAATCAAATGAATGTAAATGACATGTGAAAGTACTCAAGTACTACACTCTATTATGATTAATAGTTACAGTTTTAAATTGTTTCTATTTAATGCCTCACACATCTGAGAGGTAATTTTTTACTTTCACCACCACATTTAGTAGTTGTATAGCTATATATTTCACAAAATCAAGGTTGATCTCATTATAGGGGCCCTAATATGCTCATTTTCAGGATCATATATGTTGTGCCTCTACTGAGACTTGTTTATATGCTCTAATGTTCAAAAAGTGCTTTATTTTTTTCATACCGCCTCTTTTGAACCCTGAATGGAGAGCCCAGTCTGCTCTGATTGGTTAACTTGCTGGCTCTGTTGTGATTGCTCAGCCTCTTTAGAGATGTCTTGAGGAAGCCAAACTCTCTTTGGAGGGAACATTTGGGATTTTAGCCTTTGCAGACTATTAACATGCACGAAACCTATAGCACACTAGAGGAAAGGGAAAGCTCAAAAAGCATAATAGGGCCCCTTCTAATATGGTGCATTGTTTTAGATGACATTACCTGGCACTACATAGAGTATTACAAATGTGAGCCACCTTGACCAGGGTCAATACACAAGTGTTCAAAAATATAATACACTCAATAATAATATACACTCATCGTGACAGATTATGATCTGCATAATGAGAACTTGTGAGTGGGACTTTCCGAACATGATGTTGAAGACCATAAATAGCTTTATTTACCTAATGGAGGCGTGCTTTTTAAACAGTACTGCTAAATGTACACGCACTACCAATACTTAGAGGAACAGTTTTTTCATTGTTTTCCATCACTGATAAAGCCCAATTGTTTATTTTTTACAGTGAGGAAGAACGTGTTGAAGTTTCCCTCCAGCTTAGAGGTGGATGTGGTCGATGCCACTGAGCTGTGCGAGGACGTGAACTTTGTGACGCCGCTCAGTCTGACAGAGGTCTTTTCCCAGCCGGAAGAATCCTTCCCTGCTGTAGTGGAGATACTGGAAGTCCCTGAGACACGCTCTCTGTTCAAGTGCAGCTGGCTGTCAGAAATGAAATTGGGCAGTAACCTGATTTTCCACAAGAAAAGCTCCACAGCCATGGTTCTGTTATCCAGCCTGAAGAGCCGAAAGTCTCAGCAGTTCTTCCTGGTGTCTCAGCAATACGGTGGACGATTCCGCAGGCGGCCGAGAGAGTTTAATTCAGTGTACGAGCTGCATGTTGCTTCATCCCAGGCACCAGCTCTGAAAGTGGGTGTCACGAGGAGCTGTGAGGAGGAGGGCCTGCCTGCGCTCAGTGTGGGGGAACAGCTGGAGGTTGTTCGCTGTGAGACCGTGGAGCTGCCTTGTGAAAGCAACAAGGAACAGACGCAGTTTGTCGAGGCTCTGCTGTGTCTGCGTCTCCAGGACCCAGACGATGGGGATGATGATGATGATGATGAAGATGAAGACAAGGTGATGCAGGAGAATGGCAGAGAGGAGATTGTTCTGCCTCTGTACATGCAGGGTCACTTTGTGGAAGTACTCAGTGATAGCAAGAAGTACAAACTCAAGGACTTGGGTAAGGAGTTTAGTTTGCCCCTGAATGTTAAAGTGGTGAGCCGGGACACTGAACTCGAAGCCGATCCACTCGCTGGGTTTGCGTGTCTCAGAATAGAGGCGGCCATGTTGGAGCCCACCATCCAGGCAAGCTTTGCACACAGGCCAGAACACTGTTTTGAAATCCCAACGGAGTGGCTCTCTATGTCTGTCCATTTTACCAAGGACCCCCTTCCATGGCCCAGCAGCCAACCCCCTAAATGCCATTTGGACCGAGTCACTGAGGTGACAGACATGTTCTTTTATGAATTTCGCAAACAGGGGAACTACGACGCAGCTCCTCCACCCCGACCCCCTAAGCGAAATATGTCATCTTCAAAGTCTCTCAAAACCCCATCAAAACCCTCAAAAAAGTCAATCAAAGAGTCATCCAACAAGAGCGTCCCGAGCACAGAGTTAGCCACTTTGACTTTGGATGGCAAGCGAAGGCCCCCAGCTCCCCCGCCTCCAGTAAGTATGGATTTTAGTTATTTATTTGTGCATTTCAAACGTAAGAGTGGAAACATTATTAAGTAAATGCACAGGAGGGATAAAAAGAAACCTGAGGGCTTGTAAAAGGAACCCACCAACACTGATATTAAATAGAAACAAATTACTTTATACTATAAAAGATCAACAGTGAGATAAAAGCTGATCCAAGACATAGTTACCATGAAACTGTTTCAGGGAATATGGAAGTGAATTGTCAAGAAATTGAAATACAGAAGTACCCATTTAAAGAAAATGAGCTTTTTCATATTTTTTTGTGATTAAAACATTGAATGGATACTAGTTTTATACGTCCATATTTTAAAGTACTAGCAATTATGTGTTAAAGAAACAAAATCATATTTAAGTACAGAAATATTACTCATTAGGCAGATGATAAATGGTCAATGTCAGTGTATATTATTTTACAGTATACCGTATTTAGTTTACTTTAATTCACAAGGTATGTAAACATATAACATAGAGTTATTGGACACAGACAGTTTTGTATAGATAACATGTTTTAATTGCCAAACAATACCAATATTTCAACACCTTTTTGTATCTTAAATGATTTACCCTTAAATCTTTACATGGGAAACTTTGCATGCAGGAAACAGGATCTATTCGAAGTTCATTGTGGTTCGGCGGTCTCTTTTAACATGCATCTCAACTAATTCTATGAAACCCACCACAATGTGACTTTTGACTTAGAGAACTCTCGAAGTGAGCCTCTCAGTGAACTGGTCAGAAACACAATGCTTCCACTTTTCGCCATGGTGAAGAAGTGGTGTGTTTAATCAAGCTGAATGTGTCTAACTTCCTCTTTTTGTGCAGGGTATTTTGACTGATCAGCCTCCACCATTAGTACCCCGAAAGCACTCTGTGACTACAGGCAATGCTCGGCCAAACACCTATGTGCAAAGGGAGGACTCCAAGAAAAAAGGTGGAGAACCGGATGCAGACGTTCAAAAAGAAATTGTTACTCATTAAAAAAAAGACCACTATTGTTTGTAACTCAAGCAGGAGGAAATGATTTTGGGTGTTTTTTCAGATGCAAATTAAAACACAGTGGTTCTCTAGTCTAGATGGATTTATGTCACAAGGCATGTGGCATTGACACAACATCCCTAATATCAGATACATTACAGTACCCGTATGTGAAAAAGGAAGTAGAAAATTGTGAAACTTTGAAATAGAGCTCGATGACTGAGAGGATTAGCCTTAGCATATCAACTCATTACTTGTTTGTGTTTATTGGATTTGCTGACAGGAGGAACAATATTGCAAATAAACAACATTACTGAATACAACATAAACTGTACTTCTCTTCTCCCACAGTGCATCTGCCTGAAATCGCACCAGATGTGGACAGCGACCATGACTATGAAACTGTGGATGAGACTTTTGCCACGATCCTGAAGGATGCGCAAGAGAATGTCATGTTTTACTGAAATGATGTCCTGCCACGACAGAAACAAATCAAATATAGGCGGAGGGAACTGAAAAGAAAATGGCATATTGCAGTGTTTTTATGCTCTTCCATCTTGATTTCTTTTAGAGAAGAAAGGGTTTAAATAAGGTTAGATATTTCCGCTGAAGAGGCCCTATCGTGCTTTTTGGGGTTTTCCCTTTCCTATAGTGTGTTAAGATAAGATAAGATAAGATGATACTTTATTGATCCCAATTTGGGACATTTTTTGTTAAATGGGTTTTTGTGCATTTAACTGAAACGCCTCAATTGGACTCCTTTGTTTACGTCTGTAACATAGTGACATCACTCGTTCTTCTATAAGAGCTCCAACACACTGTACATGATAGGCTAAGGGGCGGGACATCTCTAAGCGGTTGACCAATCACAACCAGCACAACATACTGGGCTCTGGTTTCAGACAGAGGGTGAAAAGAGGCAGCATGAGAACAATTAAGAGCTTTTTGATCATTAAAGCAGGGACACATGTCACAGTAGAGACATTAAATACAAATATGGAACTGAAAATAAGAATGATATGTCCTCTTTAAATATTAAACTAATCAAACATAAGCTTCTACCGGTACTGCTTTGATGATTTACAGGATTTATAACAGCCCACAGGGCTTTTGGTGGCTTGTGTCCTGACTTGTTTTAATCAGACGTTTAGAGTGCAAACAAAGTGAACAATAGGCAAGAACATGGGAAGTCATTCAGTTTGGGGACAGTTTGATTAGCTAATGTTTGCCCACACATTGTCTCGCAGTGGATCAAAACATACCAACCTTGCTTCTAATGTGGTCAGCGAAACACTTTGAGTCTCCAACCCTTTGTTTCTGCGCTCTAACCACTTTATTCTCCTCATGATTGAAAGTGGCTGCAGCTGTGTCGCAAACCTTTATCATAAACATACTGCCCTTGTCATATTTATTGTACCATTTGTTGTATCAGTATATGTGTGCTTTTTAATCAAGCTTGTGAGAATATTGTGTATTTAACTAGAGTTTCAGGGGCTGTAGCTTGTCATTTTGTGTATAATAACGTCTGATTGTGCAGTACACAGCCGTTACTCTGAATATACCATCCTGAAGAGACAGCAATGCTTTCCAGTATAACACGACAACCCTTGTAAAACACCAGTGTTGAATATTGGGTCAAAAAACGCATATTTACGAGTTTCGCAATGTGAACCTTCGACAGTATACGTGCAAACTTACAAGTTAACAAAAGCTGGGTGGGTCTTAACCACATTTACCACAAAATAGCAGTGGCTCCCTGGAAGTCACAGCCAAAACATGTGTGAACAACATTGTAACACTTTTTTTGGTACTTATGAAATGAAAAAGTAATGCAGAAGTTCATTGTATTTCCCCATTTCATTTAGGTTTACATTTTTTTCTTCAAATACAAACGTACTGTACATGTATTTGTCTGTATTGTTATTTTGTACTAAAGATGTTTGTCTCAACAACATCGAGGCTTCATAATCCACTTTACTTTGTTTAGATATTTATAGACAGATATTTTTGCTCTACATGTCTGCATCCTGCCCACAACTGAACTGAACAACAGGTGGACTTATTCAAGTAAAGACAGACATCTGAAGTGGGAGGATAACAAATGTATCGTTTTGTGGCGTCACAACTTAATACTCATGTAAATAAAGTGCTCCTGTATTTGAACACATTTCTACAAATTGCTTCATTAAGATTTAAAATGTCTTGAATAATCTCTAAACAGACGAATGTGTTAATTATACAATATTTTATTATGCGAGTTAAACAGACAAAAAAACGAAGTACTTGCTTTCAAAATCTTTTAAAATTACAAAATGCTTTACAAAGAAATGGTGTGAAATACAGAGAAACAGCATTTACTACCAACAACAACAACTTCCTCAAAAAGCAACACCTCTGGGACTGGCAACATACAGAAGCAACCTTAAGGATACAGGATGTGTCAACCAACAGCCTCACCAACATAAACCATGTGTTCTTCAACTAACGCCGACCACAGTGCCGCGACTCACACGGATCATTGGAAGTCACTCAGTTTTAGCATTGGCACGGGCAGAGGTTGTGTTTTAGGGGAAGGCTTTGAGTTATTATTAAACAGACTGAAGGACATATCAGATTCAACTCAAACAACTGGATCTAATCGTCGCTGTCTGTCGATTTGTAGTGATCTTCGTCGATGGTGGAGAAGATGTGACCTTCGTTGCTTAGGAATTCCACTGCTTGCCTGTTAGAGAACGAAGAAATACAAATGTTTTAGGGTCTTTTCATATGAATTTCAAGCAACACAAATAACATGGTGCACATTTACAAGGGCAGCTGCAACCATAAGTACATCAAGAGAAAATAGATTTTTTTAACATCTTGCCTTTCTAGCAAAATATGCAAAAAATGTGTTGGTTCCCAGCCGTGAGAATTATACATGATGAAGTAGGAAGTGATTCAGAAGAGTAAAAGAGTATAGATTAGAAAGAAGACTTTAAAGCACATGTGTCAAACTCAAGGCCCGGGGGCCAAATCAGGCCCTTGGTGGATTTAATTTCGGCCCGCAGGATAATTTCTAATTACTATTAGATCTGACCCGCTGGTATATTGCACCTTCACTCCATCCTGAGGGTCTCCTCAGCTCAGAGCCTGAGCCCAAACATTGATGAACTTGCATCCAGGATGAGATGCCAAGTATAATAATAATAATAAATAATATTTTTATAGCGCCTTTCAGGAAACCCAAGGTCGCTTTACAAGTCGGGTAGGGGGGGGGGGGGGGGGGGGAGTAGGGGAAAAAAGGCAGACAGGTTAAGGGGGTGGGGGGGGGGGGGGAGGGGCGGAAAAAAAAACCTATTAAACTAACTATACAGTGGCGAAAGTATCTGGCTTAGTGTGCATCACAGAGCAGCAACCTGAGTTTACATGGATGTTTCCTTTTCAAAAATGTTTCTTGCGACAACAGGGCATGTTTGGTTTTTTGAAGCTGTTGTTGGCCTGTGGAAAAATGTAATCATAAGAAATGACTGAGGAAAAGCTGCAGATAGAGCCATAAGAAATGAATGCAAGTGATTATTCAATGTTTAATGTTGTTTTTATAGACAATCATTTAAGCTTTGTTAGTTCCAGGTTTAATATGTGCAATAAGTTCATTTCAATAAGTTCTGCAATAAACATTGAACCAGTCCGTTTTTTTATTTTGGCCCACTGTGTATTTGAGTTTGACCCCTGCTTTAAATAGTATAACATTCGTCATATAAAATTAATACAAATAACGAAGTATAAAATAGAGACATATTTGGGATACCATAAAGGTAAATAACTAAAATAAAATAAATGAAAGTCTATCAAATAAAAAGTGACAGTTTATCAGATTATATTTAAGCCACTTTGACTCCTTAACATAAACAAATAACAGCTACCAGGTTCCTGAATGTTCGGCTGATCCAGGGTCTGTTCATGCTGAAAACAAATAGTTAGTAGCATCATTCAAAGGCAGCTTCCCTTTCTTGTGACAGATTTATTCTTACCTAATGAAGCCACCCAATGCTGCAGGAGAGCGCCCTTACAATGTGGATAAGCTTCTGTGAAATCCTGCTATGCATTATATGCTAAAGAACAACAAGCTTTCATATTTGCATTATATATATAATTATGAAATCGCTTAGGATTCTTCACCCCGTTTGTCTCGTCTTAAAAAGGAAAGCTATGAAAACAAAGTGCCAACAATGAGATCATAGTCAATGAGTCATCGTCTAAAAGTCCCCCGACAGCATCACTGATCGGACGCTCGGATATTAATATGGGTGCAACGCAGTAAATAGACTTCACTTTTTGTTTTGTTCACAAGATATAAAAAAGGGGAACTTGACTTACTTTATGACAAGGAGACTCGTTCCTCCCAGTCTCTGCTTCAGGTCCTGGATGCTGATGCCCTGCGGCTCGGGGCAGCCTCTTATCAAACTCAGCACCTTGTGAGACGAGCAATGACACATTCAAACCCGCACGCAGCGTCACAGAGGAAATACAGAAGCATCCTTCAGCTCCAGAAACCAAATACTCTTTTTTCCCCCTCAGTAAACCATGTTCATGCATTTCAGATATAATAAGGAGGGGCAAGACGTAACAAATGACACATCTTCTTAATGTCCTTCTCCACATTCATTTGCACGCTTTTCTGTCCAGAGATCATTGTTGAATGTGTTCGATTCAGAGGTTGAAACTGTATGGCTCTTTTGTGTGCCGTTCTTCTTAATTATTCACATCTATTTTAACTTTCATTGTCAGGTCAGCACACACCACCTGAGTATGGTGGCTGTGGCGCCTTGGGTTAGAGCGTTGGTTCAAACCCCACTGCAGTCAGCATGTCGTTGTGTCTCCCCCCCTGCCACTAACTCCCCACACACTCAATTCCAGCACCGGACACTTTTTACGCTGGGCTATCTGACTGTTATTTTGTATATATTGATTGTTGTGCTTTTATTTAGGTCTTAATGTGTGCACATGTAAAAAACGTGTCTTTGATTCTGTGTATATACTATAGGTATAAACACACACATATTTTTATATACATTTTATATTCAGGATTGTGGGAAACGGTATTTCGATCTCTCCGTCTGTACACACAAACTGGAAGATTGACAATAGAGTTGACTTTGTAATTCTAATTGACGACATCGTTAAGGCTCACCTGATTCTGGTTTGCGCTCAACCCGTTGTTAACCATGTCGGTGGCGCCAGCATAGCCTTCTCCCTTGCTTCCTGTGTCCTGTCGTGAGGTGGGCACGACCTTAGCGCCCCCTCCAGCACTGAACTGAAAGATAAACAAAAATAAATTGTGTCAGCATATTGCCTGGAACAGCACAACAAAAAAACATCCCTAAAGACAATAGGAAGACAGATACTTAGAAACATGATAGGAACAAACGTGACTTCCTCATGTCCCTTCAGGGAAACACAGTTTACTCTTCTGTGCTAGAACAAGTATGCTACCCACGTCATTTTCAGAATCAAACTGATGTGGTTCTGTATTGATTAAAATAAAGAATACATATATATAATACATATACATACATACATATTTTTAAGCACGAAGAGCTAAACTGTCTTCCTAAAAAAGGGGGTTTTCAGCAAGAACTAACGTCCAGGGCGCCGGACGTTTTTCGAAATGGCTCCAGGAGGGAGTTCATCTCCATAGACCCCGATGTTACAATTCCTAATTTTTCTTAAAAATTACACATTTGAATAGCCTTGAATATCCTGACAGTTTGGGTTATTATATTTATGATAACTGCATCCGGGGTGAATTTATATTTAGCTCATCAGTTAAAACTAGGGCTGTCAAGTTAACGTCATTTTATTTTTACGCCACTAATTATTTTAACGTGCGATTAACGCATGTGTATTTGTCCTCGGCCCGCCCCGTAGTTTCAGAGCCCAAAGGCTTGTTGTTGTTGTTGTTAGATGCTGGCAGATTCTAGCGAGAGATATGGATACAAAAAAAGGTGTTTTAAACAGCAAGCCAAGCACACAGCTGATGCTGACAGCCCGGCTCCTGCCGCTCGCTTGCGGCAGACGACCATTGAAAGTTTGCCGGGGAGAGGCCTGGACACGGCGTCTACGAGCAGCATGCTTTCAACAGCTATAGCTAAATGGGTGGCGGTGGCTACAGCTTGCAGGACAATTAACATTGTGGAGGGCGAGGGACTGTGTGAGATCATTCGGATCGCATCCGTGTCGACTGCACATCACAGCGCATTATTTTGAACCACAGTGGGAACTTCAGTCTCATGCTTTGACTGTTATGAAGACAGAGGAGCGACAACTGTAAACAGGATTGTCTGTTTGTCTGGCTCAGTGCAGAGAAGTACACAGAGTTGGGAGAGAGTGAAGAGAGAGAGAGAGAGAGAGACAGAGACAGAGACAGAGACAGAGACAGAGAGAGAGACAGAGACAGAGAGAGAGAGAGAGACAGAGACAGAGACAGAGACAGAGAGAGAGAGAGAGAGAGAGAGAGAGAGAGAGAGAGAGAGAGACAGAGAGAGACACGAGAGAGAGACAGAGAGAGACAGAGAGAGAGAGGAGAGAGAGAGAGAGAGAGAGAGAGAGAGAGAGAGACAGAGAGAGACAGAGAGAGAGACAGAGAGAGACAGAGAGAGAGAGAGAGAGAGAGACAGAGACAGAGACAGAGAGAGACAGAGACAGAGAGAGAGACAGAGAGAGACAGAGAGAGACAGAGAGAGAGAGAGAGAGAGAGAGACAGAGACAGAGACAGAGAGAGACAGAGACAGAGAGAGAGAGAGAGAGAGAGAGAGAGAGAGAGAGAGAGAGAGAGAGAG